CTCAGCTTTGACTTGGGCTCAAGTCGTTAAGGTTTTCTCGGCTGTATAACGGTTGAATACGGGAGGCGACTAGCAGTCAGAAAGAGCAATGTCTGGACTACACCGGTGCAAGGGGAGAGCCATCCAGCTCTATTGCATGAAGTACGGCTCGAACTTTTTTTGACGGGGTGTGCTGCACCAGCACGTTGAAGACGGACTGTGCCGATGGATTGCAGCTTCTTCATCCAGTAGTTTCCCGACCCACCGCTATCTAGAGCTGAGTTACAGGTACTCCCGAACCTCACTTCGTCATTCGAACCGTAGGCTCCCGCTCTGAAGAGCTAGCGTCGTGGAAGATTGTCTGATGACTGTAGACATTGTCCTTGTGCAGCTCCATTATTTCGGCGCCATGCTGGCGCCAGGGTGGTAGAAATAGTTTAAGGAAGCGCTTGAAGGGGTCGGTGCTGAAGGTAGCGGATAACATTCTTGTCCATAATGCAGAATAAGGATGAGCAGGAGCCGAGCCAGTGACACTAATAGAAAGATCAATCCTTAATGTATAAATGCTCACATTACCGGTTAGCCCTCTTCAGGTAATAGGCGAATACTTGGGTTCAAAGTATGACAGAACTTTCCCGCCAACCTAATATGTTTCCATACCAGCAAAGCTGACTATGTAAATCAGAAGACCACTGTGACCACTTAACGGATTACAGTCTTATTCGCAGTGGATGAAGGAACGAGCTGGGCGGAATGTGCTTGGCACGGTGCTAAATCCGCTGTTGAAGCAGGTGAGCGATAACTAGTAGTGGAGAGGGACTGATACGGACGAGATGCAATCCTGTCGCTAGCCTCCTTCAACAAGTGGTGAAAAACGGAACTCGTGCCGCGCCAAAGTCACCTCGCCTGACACGCCCTTTCATCCGTAGTGAACAAGAGTGTGCACACATTTCTGAACTTACACATACAGTCATCCACGATATTATGACACTGTGTTGGATAAAGTCAACATTTTACAACCAAATGAGATCAGAAGAACATTCAAAATATACCAATTTGTTTGGGTCGGATTTGAAAGCAGGCCAAAGCGCTTTCACTAGAACGGCTCCACTGAGTGAAACTGCAGCAATAATTAAGGCCCATCTGAACCAATTGACATTCAGTGTCCACAGGATCTGAAAGGAATGTTCGTCGAGTTTGAGTGAACCTTCATAACAGTGAGAGTAAAATAAAATCACACCTACCGAAACAGGAATGAATATGGACAGGCTGTATCCATAAGCACACAGCAAATCAGATACTGCATATTGCATTTCCGCTTTCCGTTGCCATAAAATAGCTGACAGAATAACTGGGATTACCACGACGTACAGGAACACCAACATTGCCGAAGATGTAACTGAAAATTTTTAATAGTTAGTGGCATCAGTCGCGATCGCCATATGGAGTTTTAAGGGCGAGAATCATTAGATCATGTGGCATGCGATACAACAGTGAAGAAGAATCAATCTAAAACGTCGAAAACTCCCTTAATAAGACCCTATCGGCTCTGAGCGTATACGAGCACGGCGCAGAGAGACTGGGTGTAAAAAAGAAAAGCAGACCACGGTATGGCTAGACGATATAGAAGTGATCGAAGTCCCGCCGCTTACAGCGAAGATAATTCGAGATGACAAAGATGGTTACAGCCCAAGGAGGAGAAGCTGTTTTATCGTAGCCATTCCTTGGCTTTGAAGCTTTTTAATCGAGAAGTGAGATTGGTTAATGTTGCCGTTTCCGACGACTCCAAGCAGAAAAGAAGCCCTCTACAGACCTTGATCCAATCGCGGCGCAGTTTTCAATGTTAGGCAGCGTTCAAAGTTCGCGACGACGCTCGTGGACGCAGTACCATTGCGAGGGCGCCCCAGTGGTATGGACGCGACTTGGGTGAGCACCTTTAGCTGGAGTAGCATACGGTAAGATACTGTATGCCACCACCCAGCGCATATCCCGAGGCCCGCCTGCGGCATGACGAATTATCCATGCAGCGCTAACTGTTGACCTCTCAACCACGGCTACCAACGTAACGAATAATCGTTCGTTTGATAAATCGCCAACACATTATACGAGATAAACGAGTTAAAATCACCAGTTACTATCCGCGTATTCTAACATGAACATATCATATACCAGGGTATGAGAGATAAATGTTCGCATAGAAAGAAAAACAAGTGTATGAAAATTTTTAAATAGATATTCTGATTAACTCTTTAAGTGTTCATGATACACGAATAACCTTCCAAGGCAAATCAAATTCTTAACACGCATTAATGTCTATCATCTCAGCCGATAATTTAAGGTCACCTGAAATATGTTATACGCCTACGATGAACATCTCGTCATAACACACCTCGCGCGTGTTTGTCGTTACGAGCATGCTTTCAGGCGCCTACTACACCGCGTCTTGTCATGACTTTTCCAATTATCCTCCAGTTCATATAACACCCAGTTCCTCACATGCTATCTAGATAGCTCCCTACAACCACTAAAAGCGCCGAATACACTCTACAAACGCGATAAGCTATCTACATTGCTCCTCCCGCACGACTGTCAACAATTCACCCACAGACCAGTCCGGAGCCCACTCTCACTACTCTTATCTAACAGCTCGTAACCCAACACAAACCACCCAACCCACAGAGTCCGACTGAATCCATCACTATGTTGAACCTTCGGATTAGATGATGCTACATAGCAATCATTATGATGATAGACGACTTTGACACAATGATAAATTTTAACTATGACATCTATAAATTACTACGAGGGCATTTCTGCCAGAAATGCTTGAACAGTGTCTTCAGCCTAACCAGCGATGTCTACTACGGGACCGTGCATGCAATCACAACACCCATTCCTCCTCGGGAAATCACAGATTCCTGCACAGTGCCTCCACTCTTGTCGCCCATTCCTCTTCATGAAGGCACACTACTCTGTAAGCGCCTCCACCTTTGTCGCCCACCATTTCTTTTCAGGAAGACGCCCCTCTACAAAAAACCATATAATTTTAATTAATAATAATTTAATCAAAAAACCATAGTAGAACTATATAATTTTTCGAATGTTAAGGAGTGCATTTTATTTGTTTCGTTGTAAATCTATTGCCATTGTAAAGAAATTTCCTTCCTAACACTCAGCCTTGTGAATAAACAAATCGATTCATCTCGTTACGTTGAGTAGCCAGTGAGAGGTCAGCAGTCAGCGCAGCAATTCGAGACACAGAGGCCTCATACAGAGCAAGGCTCCGCCTCGGGATGTGCGCTCGTGGTGGCATAACAGTATCTTACGCGTATGTTACTCGCACTAAAAGTCCGCCACCCACGAGACGCAGATAAGGGAATGACGTCCCACAGAACGCTAGAGTGCTTGCATTTTGAGAGAGAGAGTACAAGGCAACAGAAGGGTATGGGCTGCCTCACACAATTACCTTCCAGTTACTCTAAGCTCTCCCCTCAATAACAGACTGCGTGAATAGGCAACGCGCACTCTCCTATCTTCTCCATCTCTCAAAACCTAAGTGGATCGGCGCCGATCGATTCCCGTCTACGGCTGCATTCGCGCCTATAGCACAGTAGCTACAGTAGCGCGTTGACGCACATCCAATCCTGTGCTGCTTCACAGAAAAGCACCGCTCATATCCAGTAGTGAAACGTGCATCAGTTCTGCATTCGAAAATCACAGTTTTCTAACACTAGGCACTATTAAGGCGTTGGACGAGCAAGAGCAGTTCAAATGTAGGATAAAACTTAGGATTACCTTCTCATCGCCACAACATCATGCAAATTTGCAGGTTTGCTAAGTGTCCCAGTTCATCCCACAAAATACTAGAACCTACCTAGTCTGAAATCACTGCCATATTCACCAGGAGAACCATCATTCTGAATATATTGTGCAATGTTTCCGAAGACACCTATCGAGAAAACTAGAGTAACTGATATCCAGAATGGACCTGAAAATTGGAAACAGTCTTGCCCCAGCCAGTAAATAAACATCGAGCAAAAAACCATACCCCATAAGTCAGGCATGGGATGCACATAGTCCAGGATGAAGTTGCTAGTGGTTGGCACAACGCTATGTAAAACTCGTTTGAGGACCTGTAAAAATACTTCGCAAGATGTCAGTCTTGGCGAAAATTACAGAATGAACAATATTCGAAATTCCTCATAAAACTTCCAGGATTCTCGGTGTACAGTGCTACGTCGGAGTCGCGGCGAGCTCGATCAGAGGCACTGCACTCGGAGCGAGTGCGCAGCATTCTCACGAGCACCAAACATAGCACTGTGGCGTGTAGACTCCCTCCTTTTGGTCGTCTGGAGATCTGCCACATACCAAGTTCTTTCCTCACTTTTTTTCCTAATCCCTTCTTTTCTTTCTTTCTTTTCTTTCTTTCTTTCTTTCTCTCTCTCACTCTCTCTCTCTCTCTCTCTCTCCGCACTCGTTACCTCCCTTCTAGCATTCAGCCGGCTGGTAAGAAGAGAACTTACTTCTTGACCCTCGCGCGAGGGATGCCCGTGACAGTAGTACTGTAGCCGCCCCAAGCTGATATATCTCACATCTAACTAATCTAAGATGAATTTTTCTTAAACCACCGTCTCCCGCTCCGCCTACCCCCCCCTCCCAGTTTTGCGAACCTTTTCGCCTTCAGATTAATAACACTGCAAAATCAACAATATCATATTTTGAAATAAACGAATCAGGGATGCCGAATTTATGAAGACCCAAAACGGACTCTGCTTATGGTAAGAGAGATGCTAGCTCAAAAGCAAATTTTTAGGAAAGGCGAAGATGGTTTCACACAGGGTGAACAATGAGGTGTTCCACCTCGAACATGTAACATGGGAGAAAACGTGAATTTCATCAAAGAGAAAGTTGTTCTACTTGGACGCCCGCAAGGAGATTTTGCAGAAAATACCGATCGAAATTGCCGCACAGTACAAACCTGATCGGTCTCAACATCGAAGAACTGTTGATAGAATTCCAGTGAGAAGAAATTCGACTTCCGCCCAGACGCTGATATACTGTCGCTTGTTTCGGTTACGAGCTGAAATTACTTTTTTGCATGGATGTCTTAGTGTGAGCTTGCAAAGATAAATATAACATCTCGCTTTATTAATGATTTACTCAACGAAAGTTTACGCAGTCCAATGATATAATAAAGCGAGATGTTATATTTATCTTTG